GTGGCCCTGGGCCGCACCAGCCTCGGCAGACTCGCGCCAGGCCTGCTTGGGCAGAAGGACTGCGGCTCTTCCTCCTCCTCCTCCACCTCCTCCTCCTCCTCCTCCTCCTCCCTCCTCCTCCTCCTCCCTCCTCCTCCTCCTCCTCCTCCTCCTCCTCCTCCTCCTCCTCCTCCTCCTCCTCCTCCTCCTCCTCTCCTCCTCCTCCTCTCCTCCTCCCTCCTCCTCCTCCTCCTCCCTCCTCCTCCTCCTCCTCCTCCTCCTCCTCCTCCCCCTCATCCCTCTCCTCCTCGTCCCTCTCCTCCTCCCTCTCCTCCTCCTTCTCCTCCTCCACCGCCGCGGTCTTCGCCTCTTCGCCGCTGCCGCCGCAGGACTGCGGCGCCGCCGCTGGCACCACGAGCCCGAGGCAGACGTGCAGCCTGACAGCGCCGTGGTCGCGTGGCCACCCTACGGGTCAGGGGCGCTCGGGAGACGCGAGAGGCCAGCTGAACGCCTACAGCGCCTCCTCCTCCTCCCTCCTCCCTCCTCTCTCCTCCTGCTCCTCCTCCTCCTCCTCCTTCTCCTTCTCCTCCGCCTCCTCCTCCTTCTCCTCCTCCTCCTCCTCCTCCGCCTACAGCGCCTACAGCCGGCTACAGGTGTGAGTTACTCTCCGCCCTGCGCCAGAGCGATCTTTGGTGCTCGGCTTTCGGGGAGCGCGGCGGGGGGGAAGGCGGGGGGCAAACTCAGCACAAGCGGGCCGCCAATGCCACATCGCATGCAACGATCGCCAAGATGCGCGCCAAAGGTCTTCTCTTGCTCAGGGTCACTCTTGCGCGTAGCCAGAGCATGGACGTGTAAGGTTACACTTTGGGATACGGCCCCCTTTGGTTTCGGAGGGGATCGATGATCCTTGTGTCCTTTCATTTGTTTTCCTGCGGCGCTATTCGTGCACCTGGGGCTTAGGTGCAGCTGAGGCCCAAAAGGGGTTAGTTTTTTGTTCAAGCCTCTGTATCCTCGGTGGTGGGAAATGTTGCCCACGGGATTGCCCTCCCGATCGTGGGGGTGATTCACGAGGTCAACTCAGTTGCCTGCCGATCGGGCAGCCTTCGATCCTTGTTGCCCATCAGATTGCCTTCCTGATCTGGAGGCTTGTCGGACTGGCTCACCCGACTGCCTCGGTGGCAGGAGAGCGGGGTCAGACGAAGGGGGTGGATTGGGAGCGGGGCTGTTGCGAAATCCGCCGCGCGCAGCAGGTTTCCGCCCCGCCGCCAGCCGATGTCCTCGACGCGTGGCCGCCTTGGGCGCCAGGGCACGCTGGGAACACCAGCTGCGTTCAGCCGAGACCCTGGCTTCCCTTTTGTTAACCCCCCTTTCGTCCACCCCGGTCCTCGGTGGTGAGAGAGAGACAGGAGCTCGTGTTCTTCGCAGAACCAAGAACACAAAGTGAGCATGCTCTTGTTTCCGAGGCCCGCGTGGACTTGTCGGGTCGACGCCGGGCCGCCCCACAGTGCGATCTCGAAGTGGTGTGGGCTGTGAGGGGTCCCGAGCCAACCAAAGAAATCTGGGCGGACATCTTACACTTTCTGTGCATTTGCGTCGCCCCGTGGATACGAGTGGGGGGGTCACGTGTCCTTGCCTCTCAGCGCGGCATGCAGCGGACAACTTACACTTTCTGTGTATTTGCGTCGCCCCGTGGATACGAGTGGGGGGGTCACGTGTCCTTGCCTCTCGGCGCGGCATGCTCACGCCGCGCTGACGCTGTGGCGGCCAAAGCTCGCGGGGGGTCCAGGCGGAACGCCGTCGGTGGCCCAGAGACTTGCGCGCTACAGGGAAGTCTCGACCGTTCTCGGATGAACGATCCACGCGATGGCAGAAGCCAACGTCGACATGATCGTGACGCGAACACGCCGCAAGGTGTCGGTCGTGGTTGCTGCGCCCACAAGGTGTCGACACATGGCGTGTCGGCGGGCCGCGAGCGATGCTTGCCGTGTCGAGGCGTGTAGGCATGCCCTTCCTCTGGGCCTCCGGGGGGCCCTCGTCACTACGGCTGGATCCACTGCGGGGCCTTCGTTAGAAAGAGCCGTGGAGAAGTACGGGGGTCGATCTTGAGCAAGGTGAAGGAGGAGGTTCTCCTCCTCCTCCTCCTCCTCCGCGAGCGGCTGCGATCTGCGGTCCTCGATCCTTACACTTCCTCCTCCTCCTCCTCCTCCTTTTTTCTTTTTTTCTTAGCCGAGCTCCTAGGCGGTCCTCCGCCTGTAGCGTCAATCATCCTCCTCCTCCTCCTCCTCCTTGTCCTCCTCCCCCTTCTCTTCAGGGCCTTCTGGGAGGACACCTCGTCGCCACGGCTGGAGCCCCCTAGGAGTCCAGGGCACAACGCGGGGGGAGGCCAGAAGGGATCGCTGGGCAGGGTTGCACGGGAGAGGGTGCTTCTCAAGCAGCGCGAGTCCCTCGACACTCCTGGTCAGGGCAATCCCGAAGCTCGGCATCGGTGCGTATGCTTGTCAGGCTGGGCCAGGAGGGCACATCCACATCTCGTGGGCACGGATCCCTGCAGGTGAAAAGTCTGCATCCTCTCAGGCGGGAGACTTACAACAGACAGACAGGTGCCCCCCTTGCCCCCAGAAAGGCATCGGCCCCGGCCGTTTCGAGCGTTTGGGTCCGCCTGGGGCCTGGGGAGATGGGTCTGAGTCGCTTTTCGTGCTCCCTGCCCCCTGGCCCACTGGGCGTCCAAGCGACCACGGTGGCAGCGCCGATTTACGCGCCGGCCGGACCTCAGGCAGCGCATGTGAATTATAGTCCTAAACCATTGCACGTGAATTATGTCCAGGCGGCAGGGGCGCGCTGGCCACAGCCAGTCAGTGTCGTTCCTGTCAGGCCATGGGGGGCATGCAGCAACTGCTGAGACTGCTGATCGGGGCGAACGAAAGGGGGGCATAGGGAAAGGGGGGGTTACGAAATCTGCTGCATGCAGCTGGTTTCGGCCCCGCCGCCGGGCCCATTCCTCGATACATGGGCGCCTCCCGGCGCGGGGAGGCGCTGGGAAAATCAGCTACGTGAGCTGATTCTCTACCCTACCCTTTGCTATCCCCCCCTTTCGTTCCCCCCGGGTTGAGTAGGCGCTCCGAATCCGAATTACCAACGACACGGTTGTGCCTATCTCGAGGGTCGCACGTCGGATCATCATCCTCAGTGCCGTGCGGGACGCCTGTCCCAGGGCGGCCTGGCTATTTTACAATTATCAGGCGATCGCAAACATGGATCAGGGGGGCGTGGATTAGCGACGGGCCCAGCTTCCATGGGAAATCGCGGATTTCCGCCGCCGAGCGAGGCGGCACCGGCCTCATTTTGGGGAAGGCATCTCCCCCGATTCCTGGATTTGGCGACCGCGCGCCAAATCCATGGATCGCTGATCCATGTTTGCGCGCCCCGGGGGAACGTGGGCGTAATACATGTCCGACTGCCCCGGGACAGGCGTGCCCCCCAACGTAGACGTTTCCTTTCATTGCGTGAGTCTGTTGATGCCGTCGATCCCTCCCAGGATCATCACTCGACGCGGAGAATCCCCATTTGCGCATGAGTTGTGAAGCATGTTGCAGGAGGGGAAAAACACACAGGCACAAGCAATCTTTGATTCCCAGGAAGAAATGGAAAAATCTGGGAAGTTGGGGGGGACCACGACAACCCAGAAGAAGCGGGAAGGCACGGGACATCCTGGGATCTGTGTTTCTTTACCTTTGCGTCACTGGGCCCTTTGAGCGTTCCCCCGAACAGCGCTTGCACGTAAAGCTTCGTGCCGGTTCGTCCGGGAAGGACCTGGTCTTTCGTCGTCGGTCTTGGCTGGGCCCTTGCCGCCCCGTCGCTTCGCCGTGCGTCGCGGTGGCTTCGTGGGCCTTGCCGTCGGTCGCCCCGCGTGGTGTCCCCATCGCCGCCCCGTCGCCGCCCGCTTGCACTGCACTGCACCTGCGTTACTCGGAGGAGGAAAAAGGTACCCATAGCTCTCTGCCCTTTCCCGTGTTTTCCCCTTTTTGCGTCTCCTGGGAGGCCCTCGTCGCCACCGTTGGATTCGCCTCGAAATCCTGGTCAGAACGCACTCCGGGAGAGGTCCAGGGAGTAGCGGTATTGGTACCTTTCTGGTCTCCCCAGTTTACATTGTTTCACGCTACTTTTTATTTAATCGCTTCGCTCATTCTGCCGGCCCTCGAGCGCTCTATGGGGCCTCTTTGAAGCCTCTTGGGGGCCTCTCGGGGGCCTCCTACAACCCTCGTCAAAAATAAACTGAGGGATTCTGTTTTCGGTGATTGTATGGGCAGCGCTACTACAATGCTGACGCTAGATATCTGACGTGGGCGCAAGGGCTTCAAAAATCCGACAACCCCGCCGCAGCATTGAAGAACGCAGTTTCTAACAAGTGCCCGAGAAGATCGACCGTCGTGATTTCCAACTTCGTTTCTGTTTATTTTTGACGAGGCTTGTAGGGGCCTCTTGGGGGCCTCTTGGGGGTCTCTTGGGGCTCCTTGGCGGCGTCTTGGGGCCGCCTTGGGCCTCTTGGGGGGCTCTTTGGGGCCTCTTGGGGCGGGGTAGTCGAGCGCACCCCCCTCGGAGGCCACGATCCTCCTGAGGGGTTTTAAAAAAGGCCCTCAAAACCATCTCTGAGTGGACCTGCTCGGGGTGGTCTCCCCAGTTTACACTGTTTCTCACTACTCTTTATTGCTTCGCACTGCTTTGTGCCGACCTGCGTTGCTCTGCGCTGCTCCGCCTTGCTCTGCACGGCTCTGCCTTGCTTTGCACTGCTTTTTGCGGGGCACTGCACTGCACAGCTCAGATTCTCCGTTCTCAACAGAGAATAGACTCTAACCCCCCCCCCCGCCGGGATTATCGGTACCCCTTTTTTCGCCTTGCATTTTACATTTGATTCTGCCCCATCGTCAATCTTTAAGACACAAGTTCATACCATCCCGGCCAAACCGGTATCGGCCCCCCCCTGCCATTTGCTGCAGCGCGTGCCGAAGTCCCTCGGTTTCGTAAGGAAAAAACATAGAAAACACACAAAGCCTCGCAACACGCATTTTCGTAAATAATTGCGCG